TTTAAATTTTTTGCTAATTTTATGCATTCAGGAAGCAGGTTATAAAAGTAGCCTCCAGCATACAGGGTAGATTTTGTGTACCATTTTTGTTATATTGATAGTAGTTTCTGTGAAATTTCGATTTGAGACTATTAAAAAGCATAATACAGTTTTTCATATGTTATCAATTTCATTGTTGAAGGCTAATTTATAGTCTAGCTCCATAGTAAGGAATTTTGTGCTTTCTGATACTAAGATAACAGTGTGACCTATGTTGAACTTTAGGTTGTTCAAGTGTTTTTAAGGACTACTGAGTTGGATAAGGACCATATTAATCATATTATTAATGAGGTAATTCCTCTCACACCTTTGAGTGAAATTCTTTACTACCTGTTATATATCATTCATTAAGTCAGGGGTATCGTTAACAGTTAATATAATTGTTGAATCATCTGCATAAATGAAGACCTGCTCTTTGTTTATGTGGAGAGGCGAGTCATTGATATACAGTTCAGTGATTGCACCAAGATTCATTTTCACTCTTTAGGAATCACACGTTAAAAGGTAAGACCTCGTTAGTCCTTAGCCCGCACAAGTTTCGACTTCTGAGGGTTGTCGTTTGTAGGGGTGCGACAGCTGGTTAACGGAAAAACATATTTTAAACATTTTCCAAACATATTTTGAATAAAATGCAAAATTCCTCTCTGAATTATTACTACAAAGTTACTTGAAGGTACAGAATTGATCATTATTGTAATGTTTTTCAGGAAAGCTGTTGGGACTTGGATCCCCAGAACAGACCCTCATTCTCCGAATTGTCCAAGGAGCTGGCAGAAATACTCAAATCTATGTAAATATTCGCTCTTAGTTGTTAAGATACCGAAACCAAATTCATAAAATGATTTATTGAATATCTAAGCTTCCATGTATCGAAAATGTGCAGAAATGTTGAAAAAATCCCAAGTGAGTTTACTGTATTGATTTTATTTATTTTATTGTTAGTGTTGATCGTGTGAGAAATTATAAGAATAGACTTTTTCAAATTGATCTCAAAAGTCTTAGGGTTTTAAGCCTGCGCTTGCATTTCGTTGAGGAATTTTCAAAGTTTCTAGCCAAATACGAGCACAATTTTATCAATTTCCTTCAAATCTATGTATGAAAATAATTTATAAACAATTCTCGATTGTAAAAGTAGGACGTATTTATTTTATTTGTATGATTAATTTGTCCAAGAGAATAAGGCTTGAATATATTTACCTTTGTACATATCATTTATTTAGATTAATTGTAAAGCATATCAAATTGTAAGTTTTAGGTTGAATTGTATATTGGAAGTTTCGGAGCCACTAATCACTGCCACAAATACTCTAATACGACTTTTTATATCTCTCGTATACAAATATTTTGTTCAATATTTGCAAGCAATGGTGGTATTTTTGAATCGTATAAACTTTTCGAATGATTATCCTTCGGTCATGGTATAGATATTGTGGAAAATATTGGATTTTTTGACAGATGAGGGCAGATGGAATCCTGATCTCTATGGCATCATAAATGTTAAGAATCTGATGGCCTGCGAAATACTCATAAAATGGTAAATTACTTATGTTTCAAATTAGTCGTTTTATACAACCTTAGGTAAACCTATTGTTTTATTGATAATTCATTCAGTTCTGATATAACTCACCTTTTCCAAATTTACTATTATTAGTGAATCTGTTTGAAGAAATCTGTTAAATTCTGTTGAAATATGCAGACCTTTATTTGAGAAGTTGGAACTGCTTCCACTTTGCTTCATAAATATAATCGTAATTTCATGCTATATAAAAAAAGACAATATACTTTGTCACAATGACATCCATAATTACCCAATGAAGTTTGGTCACAGTCTCTATACATTTCAAATTTACTCCAATATATAATTTGAGGGTCTCATTTCTAATGATATTAGAATGTACAACAATTTTCCTATAAATATTAAGTTAGAAAAAAATTTACTTCTGTTTCCGAGAGTCAGTCAAATTATATTTATTGAACGAAACCTTGTAGATGCTGTACTTTGTTATGTACTTTTTTGTTTACATTTTTTTGTATGAAGATGGAGAAGTAAAAAGTCGAAACCCATTTTTTTCAAGTTCTTTTTGTATCTCTATACCTGTTTGTTTGTACTTTTAGTCAGTGTATGTCAAAATGACGTTGTTTGAAATTTCTTAAGCCCCAATTTCATCAAAGCAATTTCATGAATAACATCTTCCTCATGATAGAATATTGCATCAAGTATGAAAATATGAAACTTCATATTTACATAATATCTATACCACGATATTATTTAAGTCTTCTGTACATATTTTGAAATATCTAGTATATAAACCCCGTTTGAAATGTACTAAATAACAGCCAATTTTTATATTTATCAAAATGGTCAATTGGATATTATTATATTATTGTAAGTGCAGATTTTTTTCAGGATTATCTGAAACATGGCACCCCTCCTTCATTATCATTATCAACATTTATCTGGTGACTTTTACGCTATATTAATATTATTTCTCGAATTTTAAGTTTGTTCTGAATTAGTAGAAAGTAAGACACTGAAATTCATTGGAGATATATTAGTTGAATCTTTTGAAATCATTAAAATATTTTGTTACGGTATTTTTAAAAAAGCATTTTGAAATATATCGAANTGCAGTCAAGGAATAACCTTTGAATATTCATATTCATAATCCTTTTTTTTATTGATTTGAAAATCCAAGTTGAAAGATTTCTCAAATTTTTCTCTCGTACTTAAAACTGTGATAAAATTTTTCTCCACCCCCCCGTTTCGTCAACCAAGTTGGCATCCTCGAATAAATTTATTAAATTCTTGAAAAGAACTTGTGGCAAATTTCAGTTTTACCAAGTATTTATCAACAAAAATAGTCTTTCGAAATTTATGATTCAAATTATTTGTGCAGCCACCGAAATCGCCAAAAGCAAATAAAAAAATATAAATATATTTATTGATCCCAAAAGTTTAGTTAGAGTCAATCTGGAAAATTGCTGTTTTCAAAAAGTAACCTATAAATTTCGAAACTACTGCAGATGAGAAATTGTTTCTTTCTCCAAAAGAATATTCAGTATTCAGTAAATGAAATAATTCTCTGATGATGATTTATCTGAAAGATAACTCCCTATCAGTTTTTTTGTGCTCAGTAGTAGGATTTCAGTTTTTTTATCTCCAAATTCCAGTCATCATTCGGCAGTATTGAAATACAAGAGTAGAGCAGTGTTACTATATCTCTGGGTTAGCAGACTCGAGTTTATAACTTCATGTATCAAATTAATTTCATCTACTTTCGAGCCTATATGGGGTTCCCGGAATATTGTTTTTGGTTCATTATCCGTACATGACTGTTTGTACTTATAACTTGAATGTATCGCGAGTATCACCTAGCTTTTAGTCGGTAAAAACTGTTTACTCAATTCAGGTAATGTTAAGTACTTGTATAAACCAAATAAGTAAGTTAAGATCTGTCCATATACTTTAGCTGTGTAGCTTTTTTATAATGATTTTATATGATTATTGTAATGGTCCACTTATATAATTATGCATAATCATCTTTTGTGATATGTATTCTAAATAAAAAAATCTAAATGTGATTGCTTGTTTCATTTAGGTAAACATAAATTTCTTAACTTTCATGCACATTAATATACAGGGAGGCTCAGCAAAAAAATGTTTTGATCTAGACATTATATTACAAAAAGAGGACATAAGTATCTTGTGTGTCACCGAACACTGGCTCCATACTATCAACATTCAAGCAACTGTAATTCCTAATTTCCAACTATTGTCTCATTTCTCAAGAACAACAAGAAAAAACGGGGGTGTCTGTTTATTTTGTAGAAATGGTATCATCACAGAGCTAAACATTGAGAACATAAACGTAAATTCTTAGTGCATTGAAGATGTATTTGAAATATGCGGTGGAAAATTAACTAGCCAAATATCACAATTTTTTA